TTCCGTCGCTGTGCCATGTGAAAAACGGTGCACACGTTTAACCATATTCAGTTCTCTTCTTGCCGTTGGCGAGCCCATCATGCTACTCTTTGTTGACATGGAATGCGGTATGATTTCAAAACGGATTCTTTCATTTCCGTCTTCATCCTGTGCGATGTAGGTACTGAACACTCTCTGTGTCGTATCCCCTGGCCTTTTAAACACGATTCTCGTCGGATGGGTTCTGTTTATAGTATCGGCATACCTTTTTATATCCATTCCTATCAACAGCGGTGAGTGTCCGTTGACTAGATCGAATGATATTAACGTTGGCTTTCCATTTTTGTCGTTAATTGTAAGGTCCCAAGTATGTACGATTGGTCTGGCGTCGGAGCAATTTTGACCCCATCCATGGTGGTACTCATCCCGTGGTGTTCTCAGTGTAAGTGGTATGCCAAAGTAGTCGCACAGCTGCGTTGCGTTTATGATTCCTCCTGTTGACTGTGGTATAACCCCAAACGCAAATTAGATTAGGATTGGATCAGGGACAGTAAGGCAACGAGCCTTACAGCCATGCGCGCACACACGTGTCCTCCACGTGTACGGGACGCGTACTACACGTGGACTGTCAGCCCCGCCGGCTGACAGCGCTACAGTGTCGGTAGACCGGCACTACTGTAGAGTTATGATAGACTACGATGTACATTAAATATGAGCGGACCGCCGGCGGTGGAGGACGACAAGCACGGACTTGTCAAGGATCCTCCACCTTGGTCCGCCCGCTTACTTTTAGGTACTTCCGTCCGTTTTACCTAGGAGTCGCACCGCGCGCGGGTTGAGGACGCGCGTAGCACGCCCACGAGCCGGCTCCGCCTCCGCCCGTCGGTACTGGATCGTCACCCAGTACCGCTCCGGGGCGTCGAGGCGTAGAACCGCTCGCGCGTGCGCGCGTCCTCCCCGATCCCGCTCTACCACCGCTACCTCGAGCCCGTGCTCGGTACCGTGGGTGGGAAGTGCTTCTGTCTTCCCGCCGATCGGGGTCTTTCCGAACTGTCAGTACTCACCCCCCTCGTCGTTGGGGGTGATTATACTACATTGACGTGGGCGCCCCCTCGTCAAGTATGGGGTTTATGTCAGCGCGAAGTATCACTGTCCCCTTTGTCGAAAAACGACGTCACCTTTTGTTTGGGTTCATCCTCCCTCATGTCCTCCTGATTAATGCTTTCAAATCTCTTGCGTCTCATCCTTAGTTTGCTACGCATTTTCTCCAGACATTCTGGATAGTCCTTATACCAGTGTCCTGGTTTGCCGCAACTCTTGCGAACGCTATCCGCTTTCATCTTTTTGATTCGTTCATCGCGTGCTTCTGAATCATTCTCATAGGTGCGTTTTCCCAGCATGGTCCCCTTCGTTATGTTCTCCATATGCTCATCTTGTACCTGCTTTATATGAGCCAAGTACTGTGTGGCATCTTCCATGGTGAACATTGTACTTTTATGTTCTGAACCCGACCTTGAGGTCAACTCCTTAAGCTGTGTAGACATATCTTTGATAGCTTCGTAATCCTCCGAACCCTCCTTGTTTTCCCTGTCTATAAATTTCGTTAACTTAGCGCATTCATCTTCATTGATGCAGTGATTAAGCACTTTTGTACCCTTGTTGGCATCGTCTGCCTTTGCCGTTAATTGGAACATTAATGCATTTAGCGTGACTGGATTGAGTGATGCGTTTCTTAATAGCGTGATTGCAAACTGCCTGCTGGTCAAGTCTGTTAGCTTGGTAGTTTGGTTTACGTACTTGGCAACTGTCCTATTGAATCTGTTTGCGAAGCTGTGCGGGCTTTCTTTATTTTTCCGAACACAAGTTTGTATGTCTGTCAACAAGTCGACTTCCATTCGCACAATCTCGGTTGGCGACTCCTTTGCGATGATGTTTATAATTTTCTCCACGAGCTTCTCCCTTGTTGGATCGTCTTTCTCGCCTTTGAGCGACAGGGTTCCAGACTTCTCCGCACTACGCAGCATTTGCTGAGCGAGATTGTCGCACACCATGTAAATCCAGTGTCCTCCTCCTTTCAACATTTCCTTAGATTTGTTTTCCACTTCCGAGAACATCAGTAGCATTTGCACCCACATTCTCACAGCGTCCCTATAACGAGCCTTCGGTGTTTTGTTTGTGACGAATCGAGGCGCCTGTATTGCGTTCCCGGCCCCACCTTGTTGTGAAGATGAGAGAGTCGTTGAGCCCATAACTGTAAAATCGTTGCTTGTCATACCAACAGAGAGCGTATGTTGGTATGGCTGACTCCCTTCTGTCTACAGTAAGGCTGGTCGTGTCTGTGGTCGTTGCGATGTATTCAGCACTTGGCTGGCGTGTTTCGGTCTGCTCTACCCACTGCCCGGACCCCTTTTTCTTAGACTATCGTACTCTAGCTTCTCTGTTAAGTACCTATCATTCTTCGCTCCTCTCGTCCTGCCACTCCCGTTCCTCTGCGCTCTTTCTTTTTGCGTTCGCTGCCTTTTGCACTCTCTTAGAGTGCCTCCATTCCCTGAGTTCTGCCTATGCGACTCCTCACTGAACGGCCACGGCGCATTGCGGCGTGCGTCAATTGTGACACGTGCACTTCCAGTATGACCCCGTTTCATATTCGTAATGTGTAAAACGTGTTCAACCTGTATCTACCAGTTCACAAATACTATGCGCTAACACGTAGGCTGGTTCACAACAGTACCCTCGTACTTTGACAGATTTTTTGCCTGCAAGTACTTTAACACGCAATTTGCGAGAAAAGGGGCACCAAATCAGCCACATAAAATTTTGCGCAAAACCTGCGCATTGGTCGGACTTCGAAACTTCCTTCACGAAACGGTCGCTTGGAGTGTCCCGGATCATCCCACGGAGTATGGGATTGATTGGAGTACGACAAGGGTCTCGCATTTCGACAGCAATGGTGAGTGATTTGGGGGGTTGACGGGTGTAACGGCTCTTTCGGACATCGGTAAAAATAATCAAAAAATGACCCAGCGCATCATATCCACTCGCGAAAGTATCCAGCAATGTTGGATGCATTGAGATTGCAAGAGATGCAGGATCAAGAAGCATCATGTGCTCGTTCGTTCTCATTATCATGAGGCCGACGTTTACGGCAGGACATCCTCTTATCGTCAGCAATTGCAATTGTGAATGCCAGAGATGAAGGCGGCCAGGAACAGGACGGGGTCCAGCAAGAAGTAGCCGAAGAAGGCGATCAGCGAGCCCTCTGAGATGGATATCAGGCGCAGCGTGGAGGAGTAGCGATGCAGGATTAGGTCGGCGGACGCGAGCGCGGAATCCGTGGCGTTGGCGGAGGCGGGCGCTACGTCGTGTACCATGCAGACGGCGGGCGTGTGCGCGCGTGGGCGCGCTCGCAGTCCCAGGGGACTTGGAGCGGGGTGGCAGCGGCGGTGGAGAGGAGGAAGGAGAGGAAGGCGACGGGGCGGGGGATCCGCGGCGGCGGCGACATGGTGGCGTTGGGGGATGGGGACGTGGTAGGAGGGGCGGAGGAGTCTTTGATGCGCACTGTCACATCCTGAGGAGACTCTCGCCGTTGAGGTTCAGACCCAACCTCATGGAATCTAAGTGGGCTTGCCATATCCGAGAACGAACTGGTGCGTTTCTGTGAGCACACATATCCGCAGCCAGGTCGACAACACTATCGTACCCCTCGGAACTCATACTGCAAAAGCAATGTTTTTGGATTATTTTACCGATGTCTTTCCCGCGAAAAGTGCCAATGTTTGATCAGCTCTTGAGGAGATGAGAGCTTTGCGATTCCAAAAAAAGCCATACAGTCGCCATCAGTGGACCCAGTGCTTTTCAACGATACCAAGTAAGTACTACTGGATAGCTTCCGCAAATTACACTAAGTGTTTTTTGGTGGCAGGTGGGGCATTATTTGTGCCCCTTCTCTCGCAAATTGCGTGTTAAGAGCATCACCACCGGTAGGTGATCAAATGACCAAACAAGAACACTTGGCACTTTTTTTCTAGAACTCAATTGGCTGGTGGGAATTTGGTGATTTGCTTCTTTGGTTATTTGATATTTCAAAAAGGACGGCCCCACCGGTCAGAACCAAATACTGTGTAGTACGCTCTTACTGACCCTCGTACTCACCCGTGTCCCCTCCTACGAGGAGTCGCAGTGACGGACTCTGAAGACGTTAACGGAACCGAAGCTGAACGTGTTGGGGTCCCATAGATGGGAGGATCCAGGGAAGAGGGGGGTAGCGAGCCTGAAAAGGGGAACTCATTTTGTCATCACCGAGCTTGCGCTTGATGACTAACAGGGGGGATGCTCTCAGAGATGCCTTCACCGACCAGTGCGGAGCATCCCTACCGGAAAACAATAAAATCCGTGCTGGTCTTGTGGCATTTGAAGAGGAGAGATGGCGGGAGACTGCCGCTTGTTTTGCCACAAAACCCCTTCGTCATGTTTTTTGGAGGGAAGTCTTTTTGTCTGACCAGTGAGCCTTGGACAACTGGATTGTCTAGGGTACCAAATTACGGAGAAGCGGAACCTAATTCTTGATATTTGGTTCCGATATTTGCCTCGGAACCAAAAATTTACTGATTTGGTCGGACCGGTGGGGATGACAATCGACATCAAATCATCAAATTTTGGTTATTTGGTTATTTGCTTCTACCGGTGGTGATGCTCTAAGTACTTGCAGGCAAAAAATCTGTCCAAGAATTATTCGAGACGTCTACCGTACAGATTTCACACAGATTTTTACGAAAAATTGAAAAACGTCCTCGGGCCGTACAACATGAACATGCCCCATGCGAGATCTTCGGTACAGCAGTTCACACAATCCACTGCTTAACCTCACTACCATACCCGCCCCTGCGCTCTCTCACAGCAACTCTGTCAACGTTCGCGCTAGACTACCAATCTTCCACATCACCGTCTGCACCATGGGAAGGCAGCTCCCCCCCGCTCGCAGACTATTCCCAGTCGTCGTCATCTCCCTTGCTTTCTCGGCCATGCTCTACCTCGCGGTATACCTCCGCGCCGTTCCGCTCAGCCATGTCCTCTTCGTCTGTGTCACAGCTGGGTATGCCTCCCTTGCCAATTACTTTGTTCTGCGCGACAGCAACAGTTTCCCTGCGGCGCCGCTTCGACCACGCTCGCTCTCCCCGACCAAGAACTCAACACGCCTGCTCTTTCCGTTTACCTTATTTCTCTCCCTGGTCGGCCCCGCCGTGCTGCTGACCATCAGCCCCGCGACAAGTCAGAGACCTTCGCAGCTGCAACAAGTGATTGCCCCGCATCTGTTCCTCATGTTATCGCAAATTGTCATGGAGACAATCGGCTTTCTGTTATTTAACTCCTACGTATTGTATGTCAGACTAGGGGTTACCATCGCGATGGTCTCGTACAGACTGCGCGTCATTGTCACATGGTATCACATGGCTGTTGCGTGGACTCGGAGCGTCGAGGCTAGTAAGGTGCTTCCTTTTGTCCCTTCGCTTGTTCAAGCCACTGCTGTGCTGAATTTGGTCTTCTGGTCGTTTTCATTGTTATGCTACCTTCTGCTTTATTGTCTGCCGGCTGTTTGTCGCGAGCCAAACGTTTCGGACGAGCACCAGAAAGTTCGTTGCAGTGTACCAGGGCGACCACTTTAATACCTTTACTACTAAAGGAAAGGCATGCAGTGCGGCAGAATGATTTGTACAGTAGCGGTTTCTTCGGTGTCATTATCGCATCATTCGTTGCCTCATCCGTACATTGCATCGATCTGTGCTTGGAAATTCTGTACAACAATCTTCCTCTTGACTTTCATTGTAGGTGTCAGCTCACCAGTATCCACGGTGAAGTCCCGATCGAGAAGTGTGAATTTTTTCACTTTGGCCGCGTTGGAAATCGCACCTTCGTTGGCCTTTTGTAACCCTTCTTGTATATATTTACTCCAAGTAGCATCACTCGTAGCCTGTTCTGCCGTCTTCACATTAGGAGAGACGTTCGAAGCCGGGCTTATCAGGTTACCGTCCGAATCGATGTACGGCACTAGAAGACAAGAGACAAATTTCCGTTGATCTCCCACGGCGAACGCTCGGCTAATGGCTGGCATAGCAGAAATCAGACTCGCTTCGCACAGCGCCGGTGCCACGTTTTCGCCGCCAGCAGTCACAATGAGATCCTTTGCCCTCCCAGTGATGGTAATGAAGCCGTCTTCGCTCACACGTCCCAAGTCACCGGAATGCATATACCCGTCTTCGTCCATGGTCTTCGCCGTTTCTTCTTCATTCCCGAGATATCCAACAAACATACTCCGCCCGCGGAAACATAACTCACCTTCACCAGTTGAGTCCTCGTTCGCAAGCTTAACTTCAAGCCCTGGAACTACCTTACCGGAAGTGCCTCGTCGGTAGTCGGGATAGCTGCATGTGATGGGACCTGTGGCCTCGCTCAAACCGTATATATCGTAGATTTGGAAGTCTAGGCTTCGGAAATAATCAAAGGTGGCTTTTTGCAGGGGCGCTGCTGCATTAAACACAATTCTGCATCGATCCAATCCAAGGGCTTTGCGTACGTTCTTAAAGACCAAGAAATTCGCGAGCTCGTAACCCCACGGCATAAGTTCATCAGCGTCATCTCTTGCTAAACAGGCCTGCGTCCCAACGTTTTTCGCCCACTTCGCAATCGCCGTTTTAATGGGGCCGGAGCTGGCACCGACTTGTGAGAGCCGCTCTTGAATCTTCTCAAAGACTCTTGGAACAGCTAAGAATATGGTTGGGCGAACCTTCTTCATCGTTTCCACGAGGCTGCCTTTCAGGGCATCTGGCCGTGCGATATGCATGGTCTGGCCGGACAGTGTGGCCCCAATGATGTCGATGGAATTCGCAGCGATGTGGGAGGACGGTAGGTACGAAACCATATGATCGCCCACGGACGCTCCTGTAATGCGTGCGACGAGATCAACGGTGAAGGTAACGTTGTCGTGCGAGATCATGACGGCCTTGGGAGCACCTGTTGTGCCGCTTGTGTATATCAGTTTTGCGACGTTTTCAGGTTTAGCCGCGTCTATGCGGGCATCCAATTCTGCGTCGGGGAGATCGGCGCCCAAAGACAGAAACTCGTCCCATGTGTATACATAGGAGCGGTGATCTGGAAAACGTGAAAGGTCAACATTACCCCAAACTACGACAGCTTGGAGGCTATCACACTGACTCTTGGAAGAGATGGCCTTCTGTAAGGCCTCTTCATCGTCGACGAACAGCACGAGGGACTTGCTGTCGTTCAGAATGTAGGAGACAATTTCCTGCTTATTGGTAGTATAGATTCCCGCTGGGACACCACCGGCGAGAGTGGTGCCGACATCAGCGGCGAACCACTCGACACTGTTAAAGCCAAGGATGCTTGTGCCTTGGCACTTTGCCAAACCTAGCTGAAGGCAGGATTTTGCAACACTGCGAGACAAGGCGTAAAACTCACGCAGAGTTACCTCCCGATCGTCTGCGGTGACATACTGGATGCGCTCTGGATCTTTGTCTACGACTGCTTTGAGGGCGGCGTTGTAAGATATGGGCACACGGCCGGCTCGAATGACGATTGGGCGCTCAGATGAGATGGAGGTTGACCACGTGCGAGACTTGGATGGTGCTTTGTCGTTTGACATTGGAGAAGACATGGTGTGGTGTGTGAGCGGGTAGAGCAGTGAGTTCGGTAAAAGAGAAGAAGTGCGGTGATGACCAGTTCTATCCGATTGCAGGGCCGGGCAGAGGCCACAGCGCCCATGCGCCAATGTATAAACTACACTTTACGTGAACAAGAGCAGCATATTATGTCCCTCTTCGCAGGACACTTGTCGTCGTGTTAGGATTGCTGCAGTCAAAAGTTGCTCGGCAGGGCAGTTAAGGCTTCATTTCGATGGCTGGCGAACCTTGCCGTTTTGAAGAGTGCTGTATTCGTACAGATTGAATGAGGAGATGACCAATCAACCATTCTGGCCACAAGTCGCAAAAAGCTAACTGGAGACTTGCCGCGGAGATCTCTCCCCATTGAACACGACAGGTGGTGATGGCATGGCTTCAGCCAATGAACGGCGCAAATTCATCCATTGACGTATTTCCATTGACCAACTGCAAAGGCCCATATTGTTGACAAATTTAGGTCATGGTCTCCGGGATACTGCCACTGCACGTCGCAGGACAACAATAATGGGCGACTCCGAAAAACATAAAAACACATTTTGTGTATGCGCAAATCCGCCGATTTTGATTGAGTCGGAGGTGTTTGTGCATACACAAACCGCCGATTTGCTCTTCGTTCCCCTCCCGATGTAATTGGGCGCCTCCGGAAATTATTTTTTGTGTCAGAGTCATATTTTTCTTTTTTGTGCACCAAAAATGAGTTTTGCCACGGAAATGCTTGCGCACATAAAATGTGCGCTCCCCTACTACTGTACGCATTCTTTTGCACGGTACGCATTCTTTTGTACTCATCGGACGCCGGCGATGACGGCGTCAGAGCTCTAACTACAGTGTGTGCTGCAAGCTAAGCTCAATCATGGCAGTGCGATGAGTGTTTTCACCAACGAGCAGCCACCGTCAGAACCATGAATGACCATATGGCTATTCTATTTCTGCTTCTCATTCAGAGCCAACGTCGAAAAAAGGCCATAACAGTCAGGCAAAAGTTGTCAGCCGAGGGACGAAAAAGAAGAGACCGCAGGATATCAAGAGCTGCCTTGCAGCACCCGTCCATGTCTACGTTTTCGGTTCTCTACGGATCTGGCTGTGATATATCCCTAATTACTCTAACAGGGCTCGATCACCACGCATTTCGTAGACTGCTTGAAAAATTCGCACCCGCCTTCGAACGATGTTCTCCGTACTGTAGCGAGGGAACGATAAGGCTCCTCCCGCTGCGTTCGAAAAATCGTGGTCGCCCGCGTTCGTTGTCAGCTTGCCAATGTTTAGGTCTCGTACTTTCTTGGGGAAGATCCAGGGGTTCCGAGATGGTTTTGTGCCTCATGTTCGGCATCACTGGCTCAGTTTGTTCGCTTTTCTTACAGTTTGGAAGGCGAATATTACTCCAACAACTCTCTGCAGACGACATGGCAGCTGTGGGCATGCCATCAGATGACGAAGTGAATGTCTTTAAGCATTCCTTTGCATCAAAATATTCTATGCTTTCTGACGTATATGCGGTTGCTGATGGACTCAAGCTATATCTGCAGCAATCCGGGGACTCCGTTATCCAAAATATGTTTTATAATGGATGGACCCATGACCATTATGTTGGGAATGTTTTTGTGTTTGCCCCAAATGGAACGATTATAGCGTGTGCGGTGAACGCACCCGGGGCGATGCCTGACTCGACGATAGCAGATTGGGGTAACATTTACAAAAAACTGCAAGATGTGTATGATAGAACTGGTGGCCGCTGTGTGGTCGATTCGGCTTTTTCGAAGGGAAACCATCCCTTTCTTATCAAGTCTAGTCAGGACTACCTAATCAACGCTGAGCACGTGGAACAGGTTGCAGAGGGTCGACAGGCAACCTCCGCTCGGCAGGCAGCGGAGTGGGGTATGAGAGCGCTGCAAGGGTCATTTCCAAGATTGAAGGATCGACTCACATATGAAGAACGAGGAGAGCGAAAATATATTCTTTTGTCTGTGGTTCTGCTGTTCAATTTTAGGACCCGTCTCGTTGGGTTGAATCAAATCTTGAACTCGTACATGCCCAACATGAGCGTCGACGCGAATTATTTTCTCAGCAACAACACCGTCATCCCTGAATAATGCTCCTTGCTTCGCCCTGGAGACCCCTCACTGCAAAAACACGGACCCGGGAGCAGTCAAGGATGAAAATCTTCATCCTTGTCCTCATCGCCGCTGCAGACCTCGCGAAGACACGGACCCGGGAGCAGTCAAGGATGAAAACGACGTCTGCATCGTCGCTGCAGACCTCACCTACGCACACCCGCATGAAGTCAATACACCACTTGGCACCTCCCCAACGGGACAACCGCCATCACAGCCGATGGCCAACAGCGCATCTTCCGCGTCAAACAGAACGACTTTTCCGCTTCCCTCATCTCTCAGTAGCCTGTAGCACAGACCGGCCCGTGAATTTTCGTATGGCCCACCGCCCAATTTAAACCAGGCATTCACACAAAGTGAACATTCGTCGCAGCTTCCGGGCAACGACACAATCACAACATGTAAAACAAAAACAAAATCTATTCAAACAAAGCCTACCCATCCTCCCCATCACCACTCCCGCCTTATCATCTTCTCCTTCTATTCCATCGTGTGGCTTCCATTGTAGCCTTTTCCATGGTAGCCATTTCCATTGTAGCCATTTCCATTGGAGCCATTTTCATTGTAGCCATTTTCATTGTAGCCACGTCTATAAGATAACAACTGCGTCCGCTTTTCCAGGCCTTTCCCTGGCTTTGCCCGGCTTTCCCGGCTTTGCCCGGCTTTCCCAGGCTTTCCCAGGCTTTCCCGGCTCGTCCCCACCTTTCATGGCATTTCCCCGCTTTTCCCCTTTACTCTTCCTCTCACTAACATCGTACTACAGTGATAACGTACTGCAGTCAAGCTCGATTACATTACGTGTCACGAACGTCACACAATAAAAAAGAAGCCATCAGACGGTTTGTGGTGATTGTTGCTTGTGCTTGCTTGTGCTTGCTCCCTCATTAATTCCCACGCCCCCTGATGTCCAGTTGATGTGCAACGCAACACAAAACAATACGGACCCACCGTTCGGTAGACAACGGCAAATAGACATGTCTTATAACCTGATATAACTTGATATCCCTTTACAACACGCCTCCCAATGCTCCCCTCCAACGGAGAAGCAAAGATTAAACAACAAACAGTGGCGCCCTACGTGGACATGACATACCGTAACGAAACAAATCACACAACTAATCATACAGCTAATCATGAAGTGTCATCATCAACCGCCATCATAAAGACCTGCAACCCCTGTCACCCCACAAAGGGCCCCCGCATTCTGCGGTACCATAAGTCTACCCGTTATGACACTAGTTTCTATAGTACATCTTTCTAAATCAAGTACCCACTACTCTTCGTGTGTGGCCACACGTTGATGTTGTTTCATTTCTCTTTGCAGCCATGCTTTTTACTTGCTCCATCCTTGTGCAATGATCCTTGCTCGGGCATTACGTCAGATACGATTTGAACGGAAAACACTCCCAAGACATCGGTTTCAACAAGTGCTCCTAGTATGTGCACCACATACTGCATCTCCTCCCGCTCTAACCTCCTCAATCTGTTTCTTCCCGATGTGGCGTCACGTCGCAAATCCCAGCCTTTCCCCTTCCGCACCGCTCCCCCCTCCACCGCCCTCCAACTACCTTCTACAGACCGCAATCCATGCCGCTTCAACCATGCTTACCCCATACCTTCCATCAAAAAAATCCCCGCCCTCACACCTCCATTTGAAACATTTCCATCCCACCCACACGAGCAACCCATTCAACAAACCACCCACTCACCAGCTTCACAGCTCCCCTAGAGGTCACCCTTGACTTCCTCTCCTCACATCGTCGTGGCAGCAACGTCCTTGGTAACTCGCGATTTCGCAACATCATTCACGACGCCGCTGAGATGCATGAACCATGGCAATGCGGCAAACTCATCTGCCACGCATCCGGCGGCGGCATCCTCTACAATCCCTACGTGGCTCTCTTCTGATACGCTCTCCCTGCAGGTGCACTACCCGACATGATCTGGAGACAGCGATTCGGAGATTACAAGAATAAAACCCCCTGTCACACGTGGTGGCTGAAATCCGTCCTCCAACTCGAATTCTTCGGCGGCGCACACTCCTGTGCAGCATGCTGCAGAGTCCCCGCAGGGAATCCTTCCGACACTCATGACACACTTTAAGAAATCATACTATGACACGCGCACGGGTCTTCACATCGCCAGGTCAAGTCTCCCAAGTCCTCACCCGCTCGCCTAAACCTACTTTTTAGAAGTCGGAGGAAGTGTGTTGACCCCCATACCTTTCGCAAGCACAAGCATCATCATTTCCATGAATTGATCGTGTCGTGTGCTCTGTGCTTCACGTCTTTGTCTATCTTCCTCTCTACGCTCTCTATCTTCCAGCCGCTCCCGCTCCTTTTGCTTCTGTTCCTCGCTTCTGCGTTGCTGCTCCTGCAGCATAGATAACTTGAAGATAGAAATAAGGTCCTCCCCGTCATCACCTATCCCAGTTTTGGACGCATGTTTTTTCCTCACAAGCAGCCGGGGCGAGCTGGATTTTATATTTCGGGAGGAGTGGCGTGGTGGACTCGTGCGACCTGAACTGTGGCCTTCTGGATTAATGAGGGCAGAGCTCGAATTGTCCGGCATAACTACTGCCCCATTTCGCCCATGACCTTCTCCGTCTGAATCGGATCCATCTCGTTCCATTTCTGTAAGGACCACTGGTGCGTGTTCCTTCTGAGTAGAGATGTTTGGAACAACTTCTTCTGCAAATCCATCCGCAAACTGCCCGTCTCCCAAGTCCGCGCGATCAGTCTCTTGTACCGGATATGCTTAGCCTTTCGAACGTCTTGTGGCATCAGAGAGTCTCCCGTTGGCATTTTCTTTCGATGCAAGGACGCAAATTTCCTTTTTAGCGAATCCAGAGTTCGGTCGCACTCGGGATATCTCTACTCATGCAGCCGAAGAACGTGATCCCATTCTTCTTTACACAACGGGAGGTGTTGATCTAAAACATCCAACAGACTGTCGACCTCCTGCTGTGAAAACCCGCTTCCTCTTCCGCCAATTGGTGACGATCTTAAATCGCGAGCGATAGCATTTCTTCTCTTTGTGATTCTCTTTCTTGCCCCTGGTATGGGGTTGGTGGGATCACGAGGAACACGATGTGGAGCGGTGGATGTACGCATATGTAACGACTGAACGGGAGTTTGGGCTGGCACAGGACCTCCCACACTTTGGGCACCATATCCCGCGAGACCGTGTAGGGGGGGATCGGTGGTCGCTGGTTGAGGTTTCGTTGTTGAAAGGGGGGTGGGGCTGTTTGTCTCTGTATTCCTTGGAATGAAGTGGACTTTCCATGGTGACCTCTTGATTGCGTTCATCGGCTGATGAGGGAGATTCCTCGCCGAGTAGTCGATCATGCTCGGCCATGCTCGGTTGGATGTATATGTCGAGTGTTGTCGGCCGGGCGGCGGCCGACGCTTTCTCTGTGTACAGTAAATTTGGATTGTACGCGCGCACATTTTGACATTTGTGCGATACACATTTAACCTAGCATGGGGTCCGCCGTCCGAGAAAACGACGCGTTGTGTGTGCACAACGCGCCGTTTGTGTGTCACAAAATCCCGATTTGGTCAACACAATTTGCGATTTTAGAATTTCAGAAGTCGCCCATTGTTTGTGCACAGACACAAACGCACATCCGCACCCACCTATACCACCCTATATCATACCATGTGCTCAAATATTTCTCTACGATCTGTCCGATCAGCCCATCCCACCCCTAGGCAACCTCATTCCTATTTCGATCTGGCCTCCCTCCACACTTTCCCTCCGTCGTATCAGCCGCTGTCCAACCCCGCAGCCCAACGTCTACATGGCTCATGTTGCCGACTCCGACGAGGAGCCGGCACCCGATATTTGTCCCCAAGCCGGCGGCTCCTTCGTCCCAGCAACAACCCCTCCTACCGTGCCCCAAGGCCGTAATGTTTACGGCTACGGCCATGCATCTCCGTCAACACGTGAGACAAACGATGAAAGTATCCAGCCGGTCTCTCTACCTGCGCGCAGTCCACCGTTTTCTTCTTGTCAAGATCCCCCCCCCCTCCACTGGCTTGCTACTCGCTGGAGGCTTCTCGCGCCGTTTAAGCGTTCTTCGAGGTGTTCAGAAACGTACTCATGCCGCAAGAAAAAGGGCATCAAATGGTGCTGGGCGTGGGGCTTCATTCACAGAACAAGAACTGGAAAGCTTTTTAAACATTCTAGAGGAACACTTCCCAGTGGGAGGGGATGAGTGGGATGCAGTCACCCGCATTCACAAGACACGATACCCAGACAAGAATCGGACTACGGACTCGCTGCGCCGCAAGTTTGCGATTCTTTACAGGAAAAAAGCCGCAACAGGAGACCCGAGAATCCCTGATTCAGTACTGCGTGCAAAGAAGCTTAGGCAAGATATGACGTCAAGGGTAGATTTACGAGATGGAGACTGCAGTGATTTGGATGGAAATGGATCTGCGGAAGATATGAGGGTAGAAGAAAATAACCAATCAAACAGTCCAAGAGATGCTGACGAAGGTGATGATGCTGAAGGCGGTATTCCTGTAAGGTCTTCGTCACCATCTACAATATCACCTGCCTTTCCAATTGTGCATAAACGATCACGCCACGGTAGTCACACCCAAGATGACGATTTGGTGGCAATTATGCAAGCTTCCCTTATACAGGAACCCGAATTCCGGATTATTGAGCGGGGAAGGGCAGAACGGGAGCGGCAGGAGGCTCGAGAGAGGCGGGAAGAGGAAGCAAGAAGTAGAGCCTACAAACGGGAGGAGGAACGAAAAAGGAGACAAGACGAACGAGATGAAGCTGAAAAACAGAGGGAGGAGTCCAGAAAAAATCGCGATGCGATTATGCAGGCCTTTATGATGTACCTGGCAAAATCGCAGCCATCAAGAGACCCGTAAGATATCCACCTTGCTGAGTGGGCACATTGCAATGTGGCTGACGACTACCTCTTGCGACATCCACTCCAGCTCCTCGATCATCGTACGCACCATTTGCACCACTTGCTCATCCCTCGCCCCATTACCCACCTTCGCCCCCACTTCCCGGCAACCTCCTCTCAAAACCCATGCTGTGACCACATCAAGCAGCATCTCCCCCATTCCAAGTCATGTGGCAAGTATTGCTTCATCTGTAATGCTTGCCACTTGACAAAATCGCAGCAATCAGGAGACCCGTAAAATATCCGCCTTGCTGAATGAATACAGTGTCACGACGCTGAGAGCCACCTCGTGGGACGATCGCTCCAGCACCTCGGTCATAGCACGCACCTTTTGCGCAACTTGCTCATCCCCCGCTCCATTGCCCACCTTCGCCCCCACTTCCCCGCAACCTCCCCCCAAAACCCATGCTGTGACCACATCAAGCAACATCACCCCCCCTCCAGGTCATGTGGCAAGCATTGCTCCATTTGCAATGCTTGCCACATGAATTGGGAGCCCTCTACGTGTGGACGGCCGAGCGCCGCCTCCAAACCTCCTTTGCCAACGACATTCTCGCGGCTAACATGCCGCTAACATGTCCCAACTTACAAGCAACTGGCCGCCCCTTCCCACGCAACCGAACCATCGCGGAGAGTCCTCGAGCACGCACCATCGTCCTCCATCTCAGCCCGCCGCGCCCATCTTGCGCTCGCCCCTTGTCGACCTCTGCCCAACCTCCCCAGCACCCCACGTTTCAATCCGTTCTCCGCTCGCAACATGTCAGTAGCGGACGCGGCGAGCGCCCGAACAGTCGCCGTGCAGCTGCGCTCGCTGTCCGCCGACACGGACAACCAGCCGATCATCGCGCGCGAGGAGGGCTGCATGCGCGCCCTGGAGGGCTTTGTCGCCGGCAACGACGTAGAGGTCGCGGACATAGCCGTCGCCGCCCTGAAGAACCTCGCGTCGCACGTGGACAACTTCGACGTGCTCCGCTCGGAGGACGCCCTCGTCGACGCGCTCAGGGACCTGCTCGTGTCGGAGGAGGCCGCGGGCGACCTGCGCCAGGACATTTTTGACATCCTTGAGGAGCTTACGGATGAGAATGACGATGATGAGATGGATGAGCTCGATGAGCTCGAGAAGGCCGCTGGTTTGAAAGAGAAGGACCCCGCTTTTGAGGATGAGCCCGGCTTGTTGAAGGAGCCGCTTACGGCGAGGCTCCATGTGCCGGGCATTTCCGATGACGTTACTTGTATGCTCGTTGAACAATTGATCATTCGGAAACGCGGCGTTATTTCGGTCGCTTTTGAAATCGGCGCGGAGGTCGCCGTTGTGTACACTAGGAACCCGCCAGAGGAACTGGCGTCCTTTATCGGGACAATGACCGGGACCACGGTCGATCTCTTGCCGGAGCTCCAGTCAGACGACGAGGAGGACGAGTCGGAAGCGAAATCAGATAAGGATACCGATATCGACAACGCGGAAAAGGAAAATGGCGGCGGACAACCAGAGTTTCTCGACAAGAGTGGACAGACCTTCCGCGCCGTGGCAAAGAAGAATGCCAAAAAGAAAAACACCATCTCGCAGGGAGCCAGCTCGCTTACTGAGAGACTTCGTGCCTAGAGGGAAGAAGAGTCGCGGAAGAAGGCTAGAGGTAATAGACTCATGGGCAGCATTGGTCGTGGCATCAATTCTGGATGGGGATTTTGGTGATTCGGCTTCCGCGATCATCACAATCATTGAGTTTACCACGGCAGTAATCAAATAACTTAATCAGGAAGCAGAAGCTCTCTCCATAAGGTTGACAGGATGTTAATCTTGTCGCCACGGAAATCATCCGCGGAAAGGCGAAACACATAACTTTACATGGACGTACACCTATCCAGCGGACAACACTCGCTTTGAGCGAAGAGTGGCTCGCAGCACCTATAATCAAGTCGAAGTACAAACTAGATACGCCCTCAGGGCATACCAAGGTAATGTCATCAGGATCCCTCACTTTCGTCCATTTCTACGTCCGGATTTTCCTCATCGACACCGTTATCGTGAGTCGTCCGATGTTTAAGGGCTGCGTCCAGTGCTGCAAGCACCAAATCACACTTGCCGGTAAGTACAGACAGTGCTTCTGTGACAAGAGTAGGTGCAGGCATGGCCCCAGTGCTTTCCACAGAAAAGATAAAACGGTCACGCTTTCGTGTGAGTTCAACTCTTTCCTCCCATTCCGGTTCTCTAATGCACTCGCGGCAGACAGTACAATCCCGTGGTCGTGCCACAACCGCAACGTCGTCTTCAATATCAAACACCTTCGCCGGACATACGTTCACAAGTCTTTTCGCAGTTGCACCAACAATGCGAGTTTTCAAATTCATTTCCGGAAGCATCCTGTAACCAGTTGTCTCAACAGGGGACCACTTCGCGTGTTCCCTGCCGATGTTTTTCGTGGCATCCATTTCAACATGAATTTCCTGTCCAGGCCGTAATTTACATAGCAGAATATCCTCGTGAACAGGCCATGGTACTTCATTGCCGATGAACTTACTTTGTTCATGACCTCCGAACGGGACATGTTCAATTGAACCGCTTAACACGCTGGAAGTTTTATACAAGACGCTAGGGGGGGCCTCACCATCTCTCGGCGCAGACGGGTTAAGCTCACACTTTGTCCGCCAGCTTAACTTCACAGTATTCGTCACTGTCACCGGTAGACCCTTTTCCCAATACTCAAAAGGCCGCAGGTCGATCTTCAGCGGCACGAGTCCAACGCGGTGCGCCAGTTGTTCGTCGTTTTCTCAAACGCTTGATAGAATTTGGTCTGTCTTCCTGTTTTTACTGTGTATATATATTCACATCACACAGCGACTTGCCTTTAACAGGCAGGTGAGAAGGTGAGATACCTGGAGATGCTAAGAACACAATGAGAATGCAAAAAGAAACCTGGAAATTAAAATGGAAGCACCGGTTGCTATCAACATCCCAAGCTTTGGCATTATCCTTTGCTGCAAACATCGAGTGGTGTCGCGGGGGATGGCCCTGACATGTCCATTTCTCTGCTCTCGCTCAAACCCTTCACGCGGCGACCTACCTTTCTACCCCTCTGACCGAGAGCAATATCGGCGCCACCCGCTTCGTCCTCTTCACGCTCACGCTGTCCACCCCGACCGCTACCCTCCCAGCTTTGTCCCCCGCCCTTGCCCACGTCTTGGTCACATACGGCCCCACGCGCCCCGCCGCGAGCCTCCGCCCGCTCCCGATGCTGGGCGAGCCGTCCTGACAGCTTACCTCTCCCGCACACACCGCCCCCCGCACGCCATCCCGCCCCTGTACAAGGGCCTGTGGGTCCTTGTGCGCACGCTCCCGCATACTTCCCACATCAAACCCCCGCTCCCTGTCTCCGGCCCGCTGCATGTCTACCCCCAAGTGACCCACCGCTACCCCGCTCACTTGGCCCGTCACTCCCCCGTGCAGGCCACCATCGAACGCGCCGGCCACCTCTCTGCCAAGCCAGTCGCGCTGCTCGCGTGCCGCTCAGTGCTCGCCAAATGTGTAGAGGCGAGTGGTGGCCTCTCATACGTTTCGAAACAGCAAATGGTTCGCATCGACGCCCAGATATGGCATGTAGGTATTGAGTATCTGATTGATGCCAACCAACCGGGTTCTCAAATTGAAGAGCAAAATGGCGAGATGGAGTATGATCTTCCTCTCGCCTCGCTCCTCATAGCAAAAACGATCTTTCAATCTCGGAAAAGTGCCTTGAAAGGCTCTCATTCCCCACTCCGATGCTTGCCTGACGGATGTCGCTTGCTGCGCCTTTTGATGAACATTTCGGTCACTGCTCATTGGCATATCTTGCGCAGATTTGATGAGAAAAGGGTAGTCTCCCTTACTAAACGCAGAATCTACAACGCACGTCGCACCATGATTTTCAAATGTTTCCTCAAGTTTCCGATATAAATTGCCCCATTCGGCAATTACCGAGTCATGGAGACACCCGGGAGCATTGTACGCTCCCACGATCACTGCGCCGGAAGGCACAAAAACAAGTACGTTTCTGACGTAGTGATCATGTTGTCACCCATTGTAAAACATGTTCTGAACTACACCGTTCCCACTCTCCTGTAGATAAAGCTTCAGTCCATCCGCCATGGCATACACATCTTGAAGAAGAGAGTACTTTGCGGAAATGGCTTCTTTGTAATGCCTAATCTCTTGCGCTGTGGGCATTTTAATGCGAGCTTTATGATCAGAGTTGAGGACGCGCCTCAACAAGCGGCGACCGAATCGTAAAAATATAGAGCAAACAGAAGCAGTTATGCCTAATAGCATTGAAAAGACCATACTAGAACCCCTTGTCCTGTACCAGAAAAGTGTCAGAGCTAAGCAGTGGACAGCCGATAGCGACCGAGGTCTTCCCCTTCGCGTGCGCCGTCGCGGGATGACGCGAATAAATCCGTCAGAGCTGTAGGGTGTGAAGCGGAGATAAAGGGGTTCAAACAGGGGGAGGAGGTAGCAAAAAGAAGCGTGATCGAACCCGCAAAATGTGATAAGGGATTGGTCACATCCTGAACCGAACAAAACGGCAAATGGAGATGTAGAGGGGTGTTGCAATGCACTCCTTGTTATCTGCCTGTCTCGTCGTCTTCGCCCTTCCGTGTTGAGGCGGTGACGGAAAGTGATGGTGCGTTGCCTTTTTGCGCGTTGCAACAGCAAAACAAGGAGGAGATTTATCATTTGGGTATCATAGGATAGGGCGTGAAGGGGGTACCGCAATCCGTCCGCCGGCGTGCTGACACCTCACTGAGGGTGAATTGGCATTAAATGTGTCTTACACAAATTTTTGTTCACATGCATTTCCGTGCCAAGGCACAAAATACGACACACATACACAAGGAAATTTGTGAGTACACAATTTATGTTTTTCGGAGTCGCCCAATACTGGTACTGTTGTAAATGACCCTGCCTAGTTTGGAAAGCACACGTTTGACAGAACTGCAACGTGTTGCACCCGTTCGGAGAACGATGAACAGTCGGGAAGAAGACTGACAGATGGACGAGCACCGAAGTGCACCATGCGCCACCATAGGAGGCACGAAGCAACTGACAGAGAGCAAGTGCAATACTACGAATGCAATTGATAGCCACGTGCGCTCAAAGATGAAATGAGGACGACTGGATCGATAGGTATTTAAGACAAGCATAGAGTACAATATCTGAAAAAAGAAGTCCCGGCAGTGAGAAGAGCAGTTCGAAACACGCCAGCTGTTGCTGAACCCATTTGCCACAGTTAGCACATTCCAACCTTAGAGTAGCACGAAGGGAGTCACATACTGTCGTACATTTACACAATATGACAAGCGAACTTCCTACAACTGTACTGTTGTGAAACCAGATATCCTGATTGGATCAGTGATGGGTTTCTGTAAATGAAGGTACACGTGCGAATCGACTTGCACTCAAGAACATGTCGACGTACCTGAACACGCAGGACCTTTCGCTATGGAGACGAAAGGGCATACGCGTGTTACGCCCGCTGCTTTTTGCAAGGGCAGCCAGCCGGCAAAAACGCCGGCTTACGTCTCGCGCTGCTTCACCAGGTATGGGGCAGACGCCTCTGCACCGTACTATGCCTACGAACGGCTGAAACCCACTGTGGGGTTTGTAGGATAGTGACCCTTCCAATTATCCCGTACCTTAGTCCCGAACGGACGCCACCCACTGAGGGGCGTACTAGCTACTCTAATTGTCCTGCACCTTAGCATGGAACGGTCGCCACCCACTGAGGGGTGTCGTCAACTGTTTTATGGTTCTCGGCTCGCTCCCAGGTGGGGCAAGAGAGTCGGGGAGAAAGAGGGCAGAGGGAACAACTTATAATAGTGGAAACGGGCACGAAACCCCACTATAAAGGCATCAATCTCCCAGGCACTGAAGCCAGGGCAGAGTTGACATCGCCACTCTGTCGAGCTCGCACCAGGTTAATATCACTCTTAGACCACCGGACGACCGTAAAGTGCTACAACGCGGCAGCGGCAATGCAATGTGGGCGAATGCAATCCTCTATTCGGAGGAAAGGTGGCAACCTTGACCAGCTCTATCAGCGGCATAGATAGAGTGGCAGCATGCAAGCAATGAACATGGCGCCAAGCACGAGCTCTGCTTCAATTAGCAAAGCACCGGAAGTGGCAAGTGCAGCGCGCGGTAATATGGCATAGACGATAGATGCGGCAGCAAAGAGACGCGAGAAATCAGTACTTAAGCAGCGGTCTAACGTAGTAACAAAAGGATAGCGGCAGCAGCCCAGCGTTCATGCTGATTACTTCGCCACCTTGTTCCTCCCTTTATCGCAGCCCCATATCAGTATCCCTGCCTCAGCCACGTCCGTCTGATCCTTGATCCAAATATGGCCAATAATCTTACAACTGTACAGTAAATGGGAACAACACGTGTATTCAAGTGTAATTCTAGTGTATCTTGGAGACCTTTTTCGTGGTTGAGAATAGTGTTTACAGAGACGTTTGGCCCAGAAAGCTATTTTGCGCACTCTTGTGTACAGTATTTCGGGGCACGAGTGCCTCTTTCTTCGGAGCCCAACCAATATTTTCGAATAAAATTCATTAATATATATCTTCATTTCATACCTCTCTGCGCATTCAGCAGCCCCCTTCCCCTCGTGCTCCCCCGCTCCCTCTTCCGCCGGAATACAGAATCTCTCGCTCCCTCCTCCTCCCACTACGGCACGGCACCTTCACCTTCCCCTTCCTTTCCCCCCCTTCACCTTCCTTTCCCCCCCTTCCCCCACCCTTACCCCCTTCCTTTCCCCCCCTTCCCCCACCCTTCCCCCTCCTTTCCCCCCTCCCCCTTGACACCCTCAAACCCCCTTCCCTTCTCATCAGTATCATCCATAGCCTCTACGGCCGGATTTCACCCGACCATCGTAGCATTGCGCCCGGGGCCCCGTCGTCTCGCCCCGCTCCCAATGTGCCGAGACACGGATGAGACCAAACCCAGTCATAAAGAGGGTGATGGTTGTATGTCCACTTACTCCTCCTCCGTCTCCTCCTCTCCCGACTCTCCCCCACTCGCCGCGCCACAGTTCCCATACATCCCCGTTCCGACATCCTACCAACTCGCCTTCCCCCTCGCCATCGAACGATTCTTTCAACCCATCGACGACGCAGTCATCCGCCAATGTCAACGGACGACCACCAGACCCGTCTATTCATTCTCCATGGCCCTCACCTTTTTCACAGCCATAGAGTTTTTACTCGCCGCTCCCCCCACTCTTTACGCTCTCGGCTATGACGCCGCCGCTGGCCTAGCTACATCGGTGCTTCTCGTCCTCGGCGTCATTAGTCAGATGCCCAAAAAATTCATTTTTCGCCGGAGACCCTGGATGGTCGGTAGGGCCCTCGCCATACGCCAGGATAAGACCAGCTCTTTTCCTAGCAGAGCCGTCGTTTGCGCAAGTGTCTTTTCGTGGCTAATCGCTCAAGCACTCTATTTGGAAGGCTTTCTGCCGGGTCAGTTGTCTCCGTTGCGCTTGTGGTTTGGAATTGCAATAGTTTCCAGTTTAGCTGCCTTTGCACGCATCAATGTCGGCGCGCACTATCCTTCAGATACTCTTCTCGGCTTCGTGTTGGGTTGCGTCGTCATTAAGATTGGCGTGTACTATGAGCAATTCTGGCAAGACCTCGGATGTGGCGCCTCCTACCCCAACCCAGCGGGATCGCAAATCTTGTTGGATTCGAGTGCATCGGCTCTGAGCCATGCGTCATGGCAGAGGATGGCAGTCGCCACACTGCTCGCCTATGCAATGACGCTTGTGTCCATTCAGGGGTTCTGGGTAAAATGCAGTTACGTATACGGACTACTGCTATCGAGCGCTGCGTTTCGAGCGGTGTTTCTGTGCTGCAGGCAGACGCCGGGTGGGGCTTGCGTGGCCGAGGTTGTGCGGCACGGGGGGTTGAAAGAGCATGTACTAGCAACAGCAATGTTTACATCCCTGCTGGTATTTGGAATGGTGACAAAAGGGAGGAAGGGAGTACTTCGCGTCGTTAGTTTTTCACTTATCTACTTCGGCACAATATTCGGCTTACTATATTGGCGATTACGACCACCATCGTCTTTGTAGGAGCGGCACGCGAGGCAACAAGCTGAATTTTTTTTGAAGGTGGGAACGGATGCAGGAATTCTCAACGAACGTACTCTAGACGGGTTTCCGGCGTCTCACATTTATGTAAATAAATAAATATGCCATAACAACCAACATTGTATAGAACTTACAATACGTACTTGCGATTCGTCGGGAATGTGTGCGTCTGAAGCCATTCAGAGGAAGAAAGCCGCGTTGCGTTCAATCATGCCGTGTAACGGAAAAGACAGCCGGGTAGGGTTTCTCACCGGAGGAGATGAATGAAACCCCCAATCTCAGCGCCTGTGATCTCCTAGGTAGTACCGCGTGGATGCACATTTGGAGCGAGACAAGAGCACAAATTAGAAAGGGTTAGCTACTCCTCATCACCGATATCCAAAAAAAGCGATATGCAGGTCACGCTGGAGCCATAAAACCACTCAGACATCCAAGGAATTCCAACCATCATGGATCTCAACGACATGGCAATGCCGGAGATCTATGGGTTATACTGCGAATGGAATTTGTGTCCTCCTTGCGAACAAAAGTAGCAAGTGACGCTGCCCTTATCGAACGTGACGGAAGCGACTTACCTCTCCTATTGTCGCCAGCGATCGGCATAAATTCCCGACCTCGATGGTATTCATCGAGGTCGAAATGTCGCCCAAGCCAGGTTGGCCGACGCGTGCGGCTCGGCGGCCGCTGCTGGACGAAGGGTGGGAGAAGAGATGAGAGAATCAACGGGCATTAAATACAGCTTGCAGAGTGCGGCCGCTGGCTTTGTTTTACGAATATCCAGCCGATGCTTGCGTAGGTGAATGAAAATCAGATCAAAATGGGATCACAGATGCGAGATCCAAAGTTTCAAATCTGATTCGGCACGTCTATTCAAGGCGAGAACAGATCCTGTGCGGCTACTCTCGAGACGGAACTGGAATAAATCTCTCCAACATCCAGGTGTGTCACCAGATGTGTGAATCAACGGCCGACGGGGCTTGAATGCCGACCTCTATGTCGCCACCCTCTCCTCATCTCCACCGAAGCGGTTCTTGTCGCTCCATCCGGAAAAGGCAGCAACTTCCTTGACCATCCATCTCACCGTGACAACGAAACCCACTGTGGCCTCTTCGTTGCCGTGCTCAAGGGCTCAAGGGACATTGTAAACACCCAACTGAACCCAATGTGAACAACAGTAAGTAGCTCCTCTCACTTCTTATCAATGGCTCATCTTCACAGGGGTTTGACGGGATGACTGCGTATCTACATTGAAATCGACTTCTTCTTCCAATGATTCTAATGATTAAAGTGCACGCGATCTAAGTCTGATCATTGCAACCCTTCTTCCGAGTTCGAGTTCTCCACAACCAACTGAACGTCCTACTTGTCTGGCACGAAAACTGACCGCATCGCCAATTCCTGTGCATCCTGATTGTTCCTCTTCCAATCTTTAGGCGCCTCTGTTTGACCACAAGCACGGCATAACAACTGCCGCGAAAATGCCCCTGGATTTTATGCCCACGCCTTCAGTATCTCCTGCACGATCAAGGAACAAGTGTCTTCGTGCAAGTATACTTCTCACAATATGGTACCTTTCCTCATCTGCAGCTGTGATCCTCACTAAGTCGCTCTTTTCGGGCTTGCACCAGCGACTCCCTCCATTCCCGTTTGGCCTCACATTGACCGCCACTAATAATATTGTAGCAGGATTAGCTGCTACCTTGCTTTTTGGCCAGCCTACAGAGCTTCACAGGGACAGCAATCTCAACCGCCTCGCAGTCATAATTGGTGCGACGACGGCGGCAGAGATAGGCCTCTCGAACATTGCCTTGAATTTACTGTCTGTTTCGTATGCCACAGTTCTGAAAGGGATGGCACCATTTTTCGTGATGGCATGGGGGGCCTTACTGGGGGTTCAACGCCTCCACATTGGTCTAATCTTGACAATGGCTGCGATCGCCGTCGGACTAGCCCTTGCTGTGGCTGGGGAGGCGGATGCCGTAACTGCCACTATATCTCAATTTATGAAAGCAGGGTTTTTGGCTCAACTTTTTTCAGCCCTTCTGTCAGGGTTTCGATGGATCCTTACACAGGTATTCGTAAAAGGAGAGAGTGTGAATGGAACTCGCGTGGCCGCTGCTCTCAACATTCGACCTCCCTCGCGTGATATGTCTGCTGTTCAAACTATTCGGCTCACTGCCCCGTATACGTTGTTTTGGGTTCTTCCCTTTGTAGCTGTGATCGAAGGAAGGTCCCTCATTCTCTGGGTGCGGCATGCTAATTTCATGGATCTAGTCAATTTGGGTACCGTACTGACAATTATTGGCGTATGTGTGTATACGCTGTTGTGGGCTGAATATGAACTGGTCAAGGTGACGTCTTCCTTGACTGTTTCAGTTGCGTTTGTGATGAAGGAAGTGATTGTTCTGTTTGCTGGCTCGATGATTTTCAACGATCGGCTCTCCAAACTTACCTTTGTAGGGTTTGTCATCGTCCAATGCGGCATATTAGGGTATGGATGCCTACCGCGCGAAACACACATGAAAAAAGACACCGTTTCGCAGACTTGATCTCGTCCAGGATCAGCGAATTTGGTCGATTTCAGTATGCTTTGCTTTGTCGATCTGTGCTGGAGCTGTCGGATGGTCGGAAATTGTGTGTTTCCGACAGCAAGGCGAATTGTTGGTGTCGTACACGTACTTCCTATAGCGAAATGAAGTTGACACCTAGGCTGAATATGTCAAAAAGCTTTACCCTGAAGCAGCCTTCCATGAAGTCGGAGAGCACCTCACATACCCTTCCGGACTGGCTCTTCGTGCAATATGTTAGAGACTGCTCTGTGCCAGAATACAGCTACAGTAGAATATGGATGCCTTGTGAGTGTGCTGCGTGTTATGGGAATAGCCTGCGCCTGAATGGATATCTCGCAGAGCTGAGGCGGAGCTACCCCAGAAGGCGCAACACTGTTTCCTATTGGACGACGGCCGAAGTCGAGCTGCAATGAACGCAGCTGCGCGGACAATCTCGGCGATATCCACGGTGAAAAAGTTCTAGGACTTTTATTGTACAAGAAGCGAATACGGACATGTTCAAATAAACTGCAAAGTGTTTCGGCGTGTCGATGGATGTAGGCGTCGAGATGGGTTTGGCTCTTTAAATCCCTGCTTCCCAAGATGGATCCAGAAGAGCAATCCTGTTGAGCGACCGAGACGAAATTGTTTTTGCAACTATCGGTGCCGTCACATATTATTGAGCAGCGCAGTATGCTGCCGCCCTCGGCGAAGGACAAAGGTTGCTAAGACCACGGGAGGCAGTCGTAGTCTTCATTTGCTTCCGCTCAGAATTGACGGCGAGCGCAGCGGCGTGGACCCCGGAGTACCCTGGTACTGTACTACAGTACATTGCATCTCTGTCTCGGTGGAGGCGGTATTTCAAAAATATCGTACTCACCATACAGTTCAGATACTGTAGCGCAAAAAAGCCTCAATCAAACGGTGCAGGACCTCTCACAAGTCGCGTCGTGTAAAAAATACAGAGCCAGATTTCAGATTTTTGGGGCCTGGCTCTTTGAGGTTGACCAACGGAACGACATGTTCCTTGGCTTTAGCTACATCGTAGTTGCTTCACGGTTGGGGTTGACTCGCGCACTTCAACCGTGTAGAACCCGAAGGCCTTCTCTTCTGCAGGACCAACAATCGCGACCGCCAGGGATCAAGCCATTGACAATGGCTACCGAGCTTGAGAAGTCGACAGCCAATCTCAAGCTGAGCCAGACGCGATCCTTGTATCCACCCATTAACCCCTACAAGGTGGCCTTTGTTGATGTTTCTGATATTCACACCGTCTACTACGAAGTTTCTGGAAACCCAAATGGCATTCCGGTCTGCTTCATTCATGGTGGCCCGGGCGGAGGCACCGTCGATGCTCACCGTCGGTTTTTCAATCCCGAAAGTAAGAACAGTTCCTTTTGAGCGATAGCCGCTCCTCCAATACTTACTAGGCGATTGAAAGCGAGAACTTCTGACATATGTCTGTTATTCAGTATACAAAATCATCTTATTTGATCAGAGAGGTTGCGGGAGGTCAAGGCCTGCTGCAAACCTGCAGGAGAATACGACATGGGCGTTAATAGATGACATGGAGAGAATCCGAGAAGAACTGTCTATCGAATCCTGGGTTCTCTTTGGTGGTAGCTGGGGCTCGACCTTGTCCGTTGCCTATGCTCAGTGTCATCCAGACCGAGTTTTAGCGTTGATTTTGCGTGGAATATTCATGATTCGTGAGCAAGAGCTGTCGTGGTTATACGAGCGCAATGGGGCTGCCATGTTGTATCCTGAGCCATTTCAACGGTACTTGGCAGGGTTACCGGAACGTCTGCGCAGCGCGAGAAGCCTCATGACAGCTTATCACAGTATTCTGAGCAACGAGAAGGCTTCTGTGGAGAGAAAGACTGCGGCCAACGCATGGACGAAGTGGGAGCAAACTTTGTCGACATTCCCCAAACCTGGTGAGGTGGATGAAGCAGACAGCGCAAAATATACAGACGAGGAAAACCTAGCGTTCGCGAGGATTGAAAGCCATTACTTTGTCAATCGCGGCTTTGTTGAGGAAGACGGTTTTTTGATATCGGAAGAGCAGATGAAAAAAATTCGCCATATTCGCACCGTCATTGTGCAGGGCCGGTGGGATATGGTTTGTCCTCGTAAAACTGCGTTCGATCTGGCCCAGAAGTTCCATGGAAATGCGGAGGTTGTGATTGTGGAAAACGCTGGCCACTCTACTTTTGAATCGGGTATTGAGCAGGAGCTCCTGCAAGCGACCGAAACAATAGGGGAAGAGTTTAAAAGTATGTGCAATGGTACGGTCGCTGACCGATGAAGCAGACTTTGAGGCTTCTAGAGATTGACTGCGGTGAATACCGAAAGCAACTATTCGAAAGAATTGGCCAACCGTTTCTGCAACTGAGTGATAGGCGAGAGAGGAAAACTTTCGAAGTAATGATTTTCTCTTGAGTAAGAGGTTTCAAGACATGCACCGCGGTTCACAAAATGTACAACTCTAATCGGGTTCTAATGCCCAAAGCTTAGAGAACGCTACAGCGAGGCATCCGACCCCGCGATTAAGACTTCAGACGATGCGGACACGCTAAAGTATTGACCTGCGCAACGGAGCTGCTGTAGTTTTGTTCCTCATCTCGACGGTGCTGCCAGCAACTACATTTTGCCTAAACGCTGTTTGTACATGTTTAATATTTGCATACCTCGTTCACACCTGGTCAAGCAGTAGCGAGAGTGCAATCTACAGTATTCACTGCTACTCTAGGGCGAATGCGGGTGGCTTGAAGTGACATGAATGCACAATACCTAATTCAGCCGATAGCCTCGTGCTGAGTGCCACGGGATTGTTTTCAATTGTGGTGGCGATGAACATACAATGCGCACATTTGGCAGCATCATGACACAGCCGAAACGATGCCGCACAGCTTGCATATCTCCATTTTTCTTCGATGCTCAAGACTGCCAAAGAATCCCACAAACATTGACGAGACATGAAAACGTAAGCCGCACGAAATGCAGTCATGTCAGGCCTGTTGTATTCAACACTCTTGACTTCGTCATTGGCCTTGAAGCAGTTTGAATTGGGTTGTTATCTAGAGACTTTGTGCCTGCACGTTTTGGATATAAAGGAGGTATCAATCAGCTGCTTCATCTTTCTTCCACGCCAGTAGAGGTTGCGTATGTCTCCAAGTTCATGGACCACAACTCTTTGATGCAGCACGAGCCCCACCGTAGGAGTAGGGGGCCCACGAAATCAGGAAGAAAGCTAAAGACAGAGTGACTCCCGACGTAAATGATATGCGTGGTTGCAATTCTGAATGAACGCTGCGCGATCACAGCTGTGGACTTAAGCGAAGCTTTTCCACCGTCATCGGCCGCATAGTAGAAAAAAATTGCGTACACTACCAGCCATACATTGCTTTGTTTCCACTCACAGCCACAAAGAGGGCCTTGTAAAGTTGACATCTGCTCCTTTATGCATTTCATAGGCCAGAAAGCCTTTAGCTTGATCATCTTGTCGGACACCACGGGAAAGAAAATCCGCCCGGACTCTGTCGTTTTGTTTTGGCCACCGCTTGCGTATTTGCAGGCGCGATCTTGAGTGCAGGAAGGTACAGATGTGTTGAAATTAGCGTTGGGGACTTCTTCCCATCTTCCCGTGTCGTGATTAAAACCCAGGTCATAGGTATAGCCCCCTCGCCTGCACCCAAACCGTTTCCTCGTAACCCGTTTTCATGCATTGGAGTAGTCTTTGGACAACCGGTGCCATACACTTCGAAGCTTTTGGAGACTTTTAAGGGCCGTGCAAGTTCTCCAGTTTTCATGCCGACAAAAATTTGCGCGTGGGCTCATCGCTTTCCTTCGCAGAGTATCAATTTCTGCAGCATGTCGACAATGAGCCGGAGAATCATTGTTTTCGGTCGTACTGTAGGTAGACTCAGTGCATTGTGGTGGTGTTTACGAAAAGCCAGTGTACACTCGCGCCACAAGAACAGATCGCTTATCACGTCCATTTTGCAATTAAGAAGTATTCGGGAAGATATATCACGCACACTCCATCTACACTCGGATCTGGTTTCCCTGTATTCTAGCAGGTTTTTCGTCTTGCTTAGACTTAGAGCCTATGTAGTTTCATTCCATTACACATGAGCTATTGTTTTAAGAAAGAACGATAAATGCATCGCCTCTAAGGTAGGATCCCTTGACCTTCTGAGAGACACCCTGTAACAGCAAATGAGTTTGATAGAGACCCTTCCTGCAAGTCTTTTCGCACAGGTGGCACACTCCGTCGCTTACTGGCACTTCCAGTTTTTCACCCAAACCTTTAGCATAATGACTATGCAATCCGGCCACAGAAGCAAAGTGTTTCTGTGAGTGTAGCAGAGGAGTTTCACACACAGAAACAAGTTGCTTCAATGACATGACCGCGTCCAGAAAATCATTACGTCTTGTGTAGACAAGTTTATGCTGATGAAACAGACTATCTAAATAGCGAGGATGACCACTGTGGTGGCATGACACGATGCGTACGATGGTGTAAGCCTTCAGTTGCCACGTGTGGCTGTTTGTGGTGTAAGAATAGTTTACACCTGCAAGTACGGCGCTGGCGCCGTTGACTGTCTACAAGTGGCGTTCGAGACCCGCTGTTTTGCGACGGCGGGCATACCTCTCTCTTTCCCAAGAGAGTCCCCAGCAATTCTGGCGGTAGGCACTTTCAAGCGGTCAAAAGAATCGGACCAAACACTCTCGCGAGTGAAGCAACGAACACAACTAGCTCTCCCCCTCACTTTTTCCTTCACCTCTGCACAGCGACTGTTATGGCAGATAATCCATTCGCCACAAGCAGCGCGCTCGTCCGGGAGGTTTTGGTCAAGGCCGCCGAAATTGGTAAGGGGAAGTCACTCGAGGAGGCCGGACTAGATCCGAAATGGCTCCGCTCTTACGGCCTATTCGCGAGGCGCTGCCGGGATGACAAGGACTTTGGGGTCACACCCTACCCTTTTGAGCAAGGGCCCGGCGTTGGGGCGCTCACTGGTGGGTTCTTCGAACATCGTGAGTGGCCCCTGCGTCGCGCCATGGAGAAGCATTCTAGCCTTCGGGCTGTCGCAGAGTACGAAGCCAACTACGTCAACGCGGCGGGATACTGGATGGCTTTCCACGAAGCCGCATTGGACCTGCGGCAGGAAGCAATCGTGGAGAAGGACGAAGATGCGGCCTTGCAGTGCGACGTGTGGGCTGGTGTGTCCAATCGATATGGATTGCGGGTTGTCGGCCTCCGCGCCGAGTTCTACAAGATGTCAGCTAAAGATCCAACCTACGCCAAGCTCGTGATGCCTACGTTAGAAAGGCGGAACGAGATGGCAGCTGCGGATGACTTGCAGGAGTCGATGAGCAAGTTGGAAACCCACCTGTCGACCCAACTCATGAAGGCAGTAGCCACCCTGAGTGCCAGCAACGCGACGAAGCGTGCTGGTAAAGGTGGCGCTGCTGGGGAGAAGTAGTCCAATTGGTACCCGACGCCCTCTCTGGAGCGAGACGCAGCGGTGCGTCGAGGGATGGCGTCATTTGGGTTGTTCGGAGTTCTTACTCCGCGCGATCCGCTTCGGGATCTTCGACCCCCCCAAGGCTGCGTTTGTGCCCGGCGAGGGCTTGGAGCTGGGAGAGATCCCGCAGACCGAGGAGGACAAGGCCTTTGCTGCTGTCGACCTCGCAGAAGGATGCCGCTCTGGCATCTACAAGGAGGTAACACAGGAGCATGCTGCTCGAGCGAGACAGGAAGGAGCAGTTATATCCTCGAGTTTTGTGGTTTGGCAGGACGGGCCGGAAGGGAGGAAGGGCCGGTTTATTGTGAACCTGGCTTTGCAGTCCAAGAAGTGGCCGAAAGGGACCGTCAAGATGGACTCCATAGCGCGGTTTGCAATGGATCTTCAGCAGGGCGACCATCTACTGTCCATGGACATCGCAAAGGGGTACCGGCATTTCCGCCTGCACCCTACGATGAGGGATTGGTTCCTATTTCGTTGGGAGGGCCGGTACTATCAGTGTGTGGCATTGCCCTTTGGATGGGGCAGGTCACCACTGTGGTTCACGCAACTAATGCGTCCCTTCTTAGGGGAGCTACGTCAGCGACACGGATTCCGCGTGTTGGGTTATCTCGACGACTTTCTCATCGCGCCATCTCCGTACGGCGTGGTGGCAGGTCGGGCTCACTGTGTGGAGGCCAAAAGGTGCATCGAACGTCTACTATCTTGTCTCGGATTGAAACGGCATCCGACGAAGGGAGAGTGGAAGGGCTCTACGACTGTAGAACATCTGGGGGTGAGGGTAGACACGGAAGCAATGCGATTCTACGTCACTCCGCACAAGGTGAAGAAAGTACAGTCTTTAGCGCGGAAAATGCTGAAGGAAGTTCGGTTAGGGCGTCGTTGGGTTACCAGGAAGGCGATATCACACCTCTGTGGTGTGTGCGTGTCGCTCATGCTCGCTATGCCGTGGGCCAGATTCTATACAAGGTCGCTGTATTGCGACATGGGAAGTGGTCGGCCCAGAGATGCACGAGGCCGAGTGCGCCTCAGCCACCAGAGCGTGCGAGACCTGCTGAAGTGGCAAACGCTGACGCGGGAGGAGCTGGCCGGGCGCCCCCTGGTACCACGGAAGCCAACTACCGCCATTCACTCCGACGCAGCGGACGTCGGTTGGGGTGGTACGCTCAATTCGCAAGACTTGCGTCCTGGTGTATCGGGACAGTGGCAGGCTCAAGGCATCTGGAGTTGGCAAGATCGAGTCGAGAGCATCAGCTACAGGGAGCTAAAGGCGATACGCCTCCTATTGACAGGCAGCTTGGGCAAGCGTGTGGTACAAGAAGGACACAAGAATGTTCTCCTGCACGTGGACAACCAAGCTGTGGTTCATATCACGAACTCCTTTGTCCCGGCAAGTCGCCCGATGATGCGGGAGCTACGTCGATTGAAGGTCGTGTTGGAGCGGCTAGGTGTCCAGATCCGATCCGAATGGATTCCGTCGGTGGCCAATCGGTTCGCAGACGCCCTGTCGCGACGCTTCCCACGCGGCGACTTGCAGATCCGACGGCAGCTGCGGCGTTCCGTTCAGGCTGGAATGCAAGCGCCAACCGATGTGTTCCCGTACCGTCCGGCAGGGGAACACCCAGTCCAGCTCCGGCGGCAAGCGTACGCAGAGCTGGCATCGTCGTGGTCGGAAACAGAGGTCAGGTTCCTATGCCCACCGGTGGATCTTCTTCATGCAACTGTGCACAAGCTGCGGACGACTCAGGCACCCGCAGTGTTGCTGATGCCAGACTGGCCACATCAGCCGTGGCATGCGGCAGCGATGCAGCTGGCATCGCGAGTCGAGGTGCTGGCATGCTCGGCTCAAGAGGTATGGTCGGGACACCGGAACATCAACGAGAAGTGGAAGGTCCTAATGTTGGACGTCAACCTCGAACAAGCGCACGGGCAGCGCATCGCATGATAGCGGCCGATGAAGCGGTGCGTCGGATTGGGACAATGCCGGCCACAGATGGGCTGCTTCGCTCGGCCTTGTTACTGCGAGAGTACGCCTGGAGCTCTCGTACTAATGCTACTCGGAGTTCTCAATGGAGAGCTTGGGTCCTTTTCTGCGAAGCTGAGGACCGACCCGTCTTGCCTGTCACTGAAGCTCACCTGGTAGCGTTCATTGGATGGCTGGCGGCGGAGCGGGAGGCGGGACGCCGTGCAGTCTCGAGCACATCCATTCCGCAGTACCTAAGTGCAGTGAGGCAGATGCAACTACACGCGTTGGGGGTCGCGGTGCCGGACTTTCCGCTTGTCCCGGCTGTAGCACGCGCCTATGCACGCTGGGAAGAAGAGAGATTCCCCCAACGTGAGGTGCGCTGCGGAGTCCCAGCAAACGTCATGCAGCGGATATGGGGCTTAGGCATGTGCACGACCTCCCCCTCCATTTTACGTGATGCTTCTTGCTGTCTCTTTGCGTACTGCATGAACGGACTCCGTGAGAGCTCTGTACTCTCGCTACTAGCCGAGCATGTGACCTGTGCGGATCACGTCGTCACTGCTCGGCTGTCAGTCGTGAAGTGGAGACAGGCGAGTCAAGTTTCATTGGTCTCATACCACCGCTGGGACGATCTGCCATCACCGATAGATCTTTGGATCAGGTGGCGACATGCGCGCGGCAACCACGTGAGGTTCTTTGCGCTCGAGGGGGAAGGTACTGCGCTGTCTTCCGGGGCCATGACGCGGTCCCTTCATCAATGTCTCGCTCTGGTCGGGGCCGGTCCTCCGCCTGGGGGAAAGTTCACCTCG